GTGTGTGTGTGTGTGTGTGTGTGACCCACCCACTATCCCTCCATGAGGAAGGCCAAATAGACTAGTGCCCGGGGACACTAAGCCATACGGCCTCGCGTCCCACGGACACCGCAGAGGCATTCAAACCAACACATACACGTCCAAATCAGTCTGACGATGTGTGTACAAGAGGACAGAGACCCAAGTCACTTCGAAACACCGAAAAGGGAAGTGTGTTTGTTCTTCCTGTTCTCTAATTTTTGTCTAGCCGGGTTACAGATTCAATCGTCATTGGTCGGCGGGCGTCCCTCGGCAATCATGGTTACCCCAAGGATTCTAACTGGTGATTCCAGGGGCATCCATTTGATTCTGGGTGACTCGGGTGGGCGTCCCCCTTGAGAGTGAATCCACCAGCCCTGAGTTTTGCTTCCCCAATTGACTTTCATGTCGGAAACCTTAGCAAATTTTCCCATCATTCGCTGGATTTCCTCCATGTTGCTATGAGTGGCTTCCGTTAGGATGGTGAGGTCATCCGCAAAGAGGGGGCATACCGGGATGGCCTCCTCTGGGATGTGCTTAATTCGGATTTTAGTAATATTTTTATTTGCTCGGAGGTTGGCGGCGAGCGCCTCCTTATCCACGAAGTACTTCAGCTCACAAAACACTCTAGCCAGAATGCGGCACTGGTCTTCATCGATTTTGAAAAAGCCTACGACCATGTAGACCGGCTGTTCTTGGACAAATGTGTGGAAAAAAAGAATTTTGGACCGTTTTTCAGACGCTGGATACAGATCTTGCATCGAAACGCTACTACCTGCATCTAGGTCAACGGATGCATAACACCACCCCTGCATTTGGAACGCTCTGTCCGCCAAGTGGACCCGATCGCCCCCTTCCTCTTCTTGGTCATCATGGATCCATATCGGGCGGAATCATAGACCTACGGGATGAAAACTGATCACTTGTTTGACAAGGTAACAACTTCGATGCATGGAAAACTGGGTAAGTGTGGAGGTGTGCTGGGAGTTCTATGGTATAGGACGGTTTATTTTCGCCGCCCTTGACTTCTAAGACTGGCCACGGACCTCTATAGGTGGGCAGTAACTTTTGCGAGATGTTCTCCTCAGGTGCAAACTCTTTGGAACTGACCCAGACTAAGTCGCCTACCTGGAACTGTGAGGGGCGACGATGCTTGTTGGCTTGCTCTATCATCCTGTGCTGGGCCTTCCTGAGGTTCTCCACAACTGTAGCTAGTTCTTTTTCGTGCTGTACAGCAAACTCCCTGGTCCAGGGCGGTAATCTGTGAATCTGATCCTGGTTGAGTCCCTCAAACGGTCTGCGCGGTCTAAAGGACTTGTGCAGTTCGTTAGGAGTGCGACAGGTGGACAGGTGCACACTGTTATTTTGCGCACTAGCTACCTTTGGCAACATCTCATCCCAGTTAATCTGATCTGGTCTAATATACATGCACAGAACTTGCTGTAGGATCTTGTTCATTTGCTCTGTTTGGTCGTTAGTCTCAGGATGGCGGCCAGATGACATCAACAACTTAGATCCGTACACTCCCAGGAGTTCTTGCCAGTTTTGGCTGGTGAAGCGACTATCTCTATCGCTAACTATGGACAATGGGATTTCATTCTCACTAACACAGCAGTTAAAAAACTTATGTATCACTAAATCTGTACGTGCCTCTGACGGCAAGGGAACAAAAACTACATATTTGCTAAAACGGTCAACTATGACCATGACTTGGCTCTTACCATGCCTACTCTTGAATTGGGTGTCCATAAAATCGATGGACACTGAGTCTCCCGGCTGATCTGGAATGGGTAAGGGTCTGAGAAGACCTAGCGGTGCGCGCGTCCTACTCTTATTACGCTGGCAAACTTTGCAACTGCGGACATACTCTACGCAGTCAGTCTTCATCCCTGGCCACGTATATGCGCGCATCAGATTGGATAAAGTCTTTTGCCAACCAAAATGACCCTCTGTGTCATGGCATTCTCCCAAGATCAGACTACGGACCTCTTCACTATTGGGGATGCACAGGCGGTCAAACACATTAGTCTTCTCAAAGAGCAACCCTTCAGTAGTGCGGTAGTTCGGCTCTGTCTCTAGGGCCTCCTTGACCCTCTTGAGGAGGTCACTATAGATAGGGTCCTGCGCATAGGCTTCTCTAATCCTCTGCTGCAGGTCCTTCCCTATATCTAGGTAATGCACTATTGCCCCAAAGTAATCAGCTCTCCTGCTAAGAGCATCCGCGACTACGTTATACTTTCCCTTGATTGGCTTGAGCTCAAAGTCGTATTGATCTATCTCAGCGGCCCAACTAGTAAGCTTAGGTGTCATTTTGGCCTGCGTCTTTAACCATCGCAATGTCTCGTGGTCAGAATAGACTTTGAAGTGCCTCCCAAGCAAGTAGTGTTTCCAGTGGTCTACCGCTTGCCTGAGAGCGTAGAGTTCCCTCTCATAGGTAGATGTCGCCACCTTCTCTGAAGGCATCCTAGGCGACATGAATTCTACGGGTCTATAACCATTGCCATCATCTTGCTGCAACACTACACCTATGTCGTACTGACTAGCATCCGTAGTAACGACAAAGGGCAAGGACGGATCGGCTACCTTAAGGACTGGATATTCTATTAAGGCTTGCTTCAACTTCTTCATAGCAGATGTGCAGTCCTTATCCCACTTCCAGATGGTCTCCTTCCTGAGCAGTCTGCGAAGGGGTGCGGCGATAATGGAGAAGTTCCTCACGAACTTCGTATAGTAGTTAGCTAAGCCCAAAAACGACCGCAACTCGGTCAGCGTGCGCGGTGTGGGCCAATCTCTAATCGCTGCGATTTTGCAGTCTTCAGGCTTGACGCCGTCTCCGTCTAAGACGTGGCCTAAATATAGAACTTGGGTCTTTGCCTAATCGCACTTCTTTGCATTGATCTTGAAGTTAGCTTCTCTCAACTTCTCCAAGACCTGCCTGAGATGACCCTGATGTTCCTGGAGGGTCTTGCTAAACACTAAGATATCATCTAAATAGACAACAACAAATCTATCTAACCATGGCCTAAACAGATCATTCATACAACGCTGGAACATTGCTGGCGCATTGGTTAGTCCAAAGGGCATCACTATAAACTCGTAGTGCCCATATCTAGTCTGGAAGGCTGTCTTATACTGATCACCAGGATGCACCTCGATCTGATGATATCCGGACTTCAAATCTATCTTGGAGAAATACTTTGCCCCCTGCACACGATCCAAGAGATCATCTATCCTAGGCAATGGCTCAGCATTCTTCACTGTGATAGCATTCAGACCCCTATAGTCTATACACATCCTCAGCTCTCCCTCTTTCTTGGGGACAAAGAGAACAGGCGCTCCAAAGGGAGACGAACTGGGCCTAATCCAACCCTTCTCAAGGAGCTCATCTAACTGCTTACGAAGCTCCTCTAACTCCCGTGGGGACATCCTGTACATCGCGCCCTTAGGAGTTTTACTGCCAGGCTCTATCTCAATGCGATGCTTGATGGGCCGCGGTACTACTCCTGTCGGCGGCTCAGCTAAGTCCTTAAACTCATCCAGCAGCTTGAAAATAGCAGGGTCTATAGGCTTTGCTTCCTTAGGCTCAGTTACTGGCCTAACATAGGCTACGAAAACCTATTCTTCTAGGTGCTCCTTCTTCACGAATCTCGCGAATGCAAGTGCACTAAGGTAGCAATGCGCCAGGGGGTTCTCTACTCCTGACATGTGGAATAGGCAGGCAGTCTTAGCCTCGCCTGAAGGGCTAGGGAGCTTACACTCGTGCTCCTTCAAATGGAGTGTGGCCCCGGTTGCCTCTCCCTGATCCATCCCCGGGACAATATCGAATGGGAGGCTGTCTTCTATGAGGAGAGTCGGGGAGTGGAGGACTTTCTCCACTTTCCCATCCTTCTCCAGGCAGAAATACGCCTGGACTCCCTCTACATAATCCTTTACAACCATCATACGGTTGTCTGCGAGGATACTAACTATAGGGTCTGCTAGCTTTTAGACCTTAAGTCCCAGCTTCAACTTCTGCAGCGCTTTTCTACTAATATAGCTGCAGGTAGCCCCTGAGTCTACTAGGGCTCCTACTCTACCTCTAAAAATCTCTACATCTACTAGGATTAGCTGTCCTTTATGTTCTTTCTTCATCTTGGCCCAGGCCGACATCCTCTCCTTCAATTCTTCGGCCACGCCTGTGAGGGAGGTGTCTAGAGAGACCTTGACACAAGCAGTCTCTGGACAGTTGTCTAGACACCGACCTGCAACCTCTGCCATAGGCACATGTGGTGTGGGAGTTTCCTGCCGGCTAGCGCTATGTTCCCCACATGGCCTTGTGGTAGGGGCAGTTGCTACCTCTACCGGCGGCTGCCTTTTGACTCCTGCGCAGCCGTTCGGGTCTCTCTGTACTTAGGACAGTATTTGATGATATGGCCCGGGTCACCACAGAAAATGCACTGGCCCCGGTCCAACCGTTGTTGCCATAAGCCCTGGTCCAGACCCAAACTTTCCCAAGGCCTAACCTGTGGGAGCCCAGGGTGCCATCCTCCTACCCTATAGGGAGACCTGTTCCTAGGAAGGTTTTGCGGGGGACCTTGACCCCTTCCTCCCGCTTGGCGGTTTCCTCCTCTGCCGCCAACCCCCTGATCGCCCTGAAACCGGCTCCCTGAGGCCCGGCCCCCTCGGCCCTGGCCTCGTCCTCCTCCTTGCGGCCTCCCTCCAGCCGCGACAGCAACGTAAGTTCTCCCCTGGCCCACGCCGCTGTCCTCGTCCTTCAACCCCCACTCAATCTGATCGTAGGGGATCTCATCCACACTACCCTCATCTAAGGTTAGGACAAGACTATCCTTAGTCTTCACTTGTCCCGAGATAGTGCGACCCTTCCATTGCTTACCCTTGTCCAAGTCCTTGGGCCAGAAAGTGGACACAAACGCCGACTTGGCTTCAAAAGTCACCACTTCGCGACTAAGGGAATCGTAAGTAGTGGCAGGGTCTTCGCTCTTCGCAAAGAAGTGCCCTCGAAAGGCTTCAGGCATAGCGCGGTAGAAGAGGCCGACCAATTGGGTCTCTGTGACCCCATGGTCCGGAACAGCTACAAGCTCATCCATTGTACTCTTAAGTGCCCTGACACTTTTCCACTTGCAAGAGTGGATCATCTGCAGCCTGTCTGAGGCTTTAACACTACGAGCGACATCAGCAAATTGCTCGCGCAGCAATTTCATAAACTCTGTGAGGGAGGTGAAGGACGAGTAGGCAACTGGATCCTCATTGCAGTTCGCAGCACGAACCAGGGACCTCGCAAAGTTGGCGGCCTCATCTCTAAGCGCATGGATCGCAATGCGCTTAGATCCGGGGAGACCTGTTGCAGATGCACGTAGGTCTTGATATTGGCCTCCCAATTGTCAAAGTTTTCTTCCCGTTTTCCACTGTAGGAATCAGGGAATTTGACTTTAACCGGCTCCCGGCGAGGACGTGCTTCCTTCTCCTTGGGAGCTGCCGCCTTGACGCCTTCAATGGCGCCAGCATAAAACCGCTCAGTCTTGTCGAGGCGGTGGCCCACCTCGGCCTCCACGAGCAAAGTCCCGAAATCCCAATCGTATCGAACGCACTGCTATATGCTGACTCCTACTAAAGTCATACTGCTCCGCCTTGATCCGTGCTAGGCATGCAACGTTTCGGGCTATGACTTGCATTTGCTTTGGGAGTTCAGTTTGGACGGCTAATCGCTCTTCTATCTTTTGTACCTCCTCCAATTCTTTTGCCGCCTCCGCTGCCGCGTCCACTCTCCTCTTCTTCTCCCTCATCACTCCCAGCTTCCATTCCATCCTTTTCTCATCTTCCAACGCCTGCTGCTTTATGACATCTTCTTCTGCGTTCCATGCTCTCATAGCGGCCTCCTGGTCATCCTTGGAAATATACATCACCACCTCTTCTTCTTCACCCAAAGATAAATTGGCGACCCACTCCGAAATCCATTTTTCCATCTCCTCATCTCTGCTGCCACTGTACTGCCCTCTCTTTCTTTGCAGTGGCGTTTCATCTTCTTCCTCTTCCTCTTCCACTTCTTTCAGCTTCTGCTCTTCTTCCTTCTTCAATCTCTCTTTCTCCCTGGCCATCTCTTCCTCTATCTTCTTCAGCTTGGCCGCCTACTCCTCCTGTAGGGCCTTCTTCTTGGCCTTTTTTTTCTCTTTTCTCTTTCTCAGTATGGCGACCCTCTTCTCTTCCTCCTCCTTCGAATAGGGCGTGGTGGAGGTACCACCCCGGGTTCCTACTTTACACGTGAGTGTGGGCGAGAATCCCAGAGGAAAGAGGAGACGCCAGAGGGTCCCCCAGAGGGAGAACCCAACGAGCAACTCATACATTGGATAGTCATCCATCGTGGTGTCAGGTGAACGACAAGAGTCCCACTCCTCACCACTTAGACCTACCCGGACACAAACCTACTGACTGACTCTCTAAGATTACTACTCAAAACTACTCTAAGGCTGTCGCTACTGAACCAACAGCTGATCTGGAGGCATTTAAGGAGAACCTCCAAACTCCGCAAGAATTCTTTAATGTCGCAAACAGGACGACGTGATCAGCTGGGTTCTGCCTGTGCTTTCAACCCGCAACTCAGCCTTTCCGGCCTACTGGGCCACACCGAGCAGCCCGCCGGTCTGTACCGGTCCTTGGAGGGGTTCGTGTCCCTCGGGACAGTCGAGTCGTCAGACACAGATCATCATCCTTACTAGGTTCGGTAGGGGGGTGGTTCAAACAGGCCCTCAACACTTAAAGACGACCTTCGTTTCAGCCTACGGCTCGGAGTTCGGACCCTCTACACTGAAACTGAATAGACCTGCCGGACAGTACCGGTCATTGGGCTAGACGAGTTGTTTAACGAGCGCTCGCCGCTCATGCCCAGGTCTCCAGATACCAGAGTAGAGATTAGTCCTACTAAGTCCCGCGCAGGTTTGGCAGCAAGGCCCTATCCTTCATCCACAGAGTCCTAACACCTAGGACAGAAGAGACTCAATGCAGAAAGAGTAGACAGACAGACTCAGACTCAGCAAGTACCGTGGGGTAGTGCAAATCCGAAGGGTAAGGGGATAGGCTAAGGGCTCAGCGAGATATCACCAACTCCAGCTTGGTCAAAATCTTGGTGTGCAGCCCCGGTCAACACCTTGGTCAACGCTAAGTCAACGCGGACAACTCTTGGTCAACGCTCCGTCAACCCCTTGGTCAACGCCTGGTCAACCCTCTGGTCAACCCCTGGTCAACCCCCGGTCAACGCTCTAGTCAACGCCCGGTCAACCCTTCACCTCGGCTATGGCTGCCGGCACCTTCACCTTCGTAACCCTAGCC